TAAAAATTTGTATTAATGTGCATAAAGAAGCCAAGGAAAGATGGAAAAATCTCCAAAAGGCATCAAATTACAGATTAGACATTCTTATAATATGTCAACAAAAGTTAGATTTTATTTCCATCATTTACACTTTCAAAATAACAGAAAACAAAAAAATGGCGTCTGCAAAAGTTTGGGCACCCTGCAGAGTTAATATCTTGTACTGCCCCCTTTGGCAAGTATCACAGCTTGTAAACGCTTTTTTGTAGCCAGCCAAGAGTCTTTCAATTCTTCTTTGAGGTATCTTTGCCCATTCTTCCTTACAAAAGTCTTCCAGTTCTTTGAGATTTCTGGGCTGTCTGTCACGAACTGCTCTTTTAAGGTCTATCCATAGATTTTCAATTATGTTGAGATCAGGAGATTGTGAAGGCCATGGCAAACCTTCAGTTTACGCCTCTTGATGTAATCCCCCATGGATTTCGAGGTGTGTTTAGGATCATTATCCATTTGTAGAAGCCATCCTCTCTTTAACTTCAGCTTTTTCACAGATGGCATCAAGTTACCATCCAAAATTTGCTGAAATTTTATTGAATCCATTTTTCCTTCTACTCGTGAGATGTTCCCTTTGCCACTGGCTGCAACACAACCCCAAAGCATGATTGATCCAACCCCATGCTTAACAGTTGGACAGAGGTTCTTTTCATTAAATTCTGTGCTCCTTCTTCTCCAAATGTACCTTTGCTCATTCCGGCCAAAAAGTTCAATTTTAACCTCATTGGTCCACAGAACTTGTTTCCAAAATGCATCAGGCTTGTCTATATGTTCATTTGCAAAGTTCAAACGATGATTTTTGTGGTGAGGACGTAGAAGAGGTTTTCTTCTGATGACTCTTCCATGAAGACCATATTTGTACAAGTATCTCTTTATAGTGGAATAGTGTACCACAAACTCCAGTGTCTGCCAGATCTTTCTGGAGGGATCGTGCAGTCAAACATGGGTTGTTGAATTGTTTTTTCTCACAATCCTGCGAGCTGTTCTGTCTGATATTTTTCTTGGTCTTCCAGATCTTGCTTTAACTTCCACTGTTCCTGATGACTGCCATTTCTTAATTACATTCCGAACAGAGGATATTGACACCTGAAAAACGCTTTGCTATCTTCTTATAGCCTTCTCCAGCTTTGTGAGCGTCAACTATTTTCAGTTTCAGTTTTCTAGACAACTGCTTAAGAACCCATGGTGCTGATTGTTGGGGCAAGGTCAGATGAGTCTGGGGCATTTAAAACCTTTGAGATTGACATAACCTGGTCTTCCCAGACGATGATTGAGAACAATCCATGACACTGGCAGGTCTCAGCTTTGCAAAGGGGGCAGTGCATGCTATAAATTCTGCAGGGTGCCCAAACTTTTGCAGACGCCATTTGTTTTTCTGTTATTTTGAAAGTGTAAATGATGGAAATAAAATCTAACTTTTGTTGACATATTATAAGAATGTCTAATCTGTAATTTGATGCCTTTTGGAGATTTTTCCATCTTTCCCTGGCTTCTTTATGCACATTAATACAAATTTTTAGCTGGGGTGCCCAAACTTTCGATCCCCACTGTATGTGGTTGGTCTCTCTTAGCCAATAGATTTTCATTTGTACTGTGTAGGTACAGAATTAGGGGTATTTGTGACCACAGACAGCAGCTGATCAGCAGAGGCAATCTGGTAACTCTGTAATATGCTGTAATACAGCTGCACAAGTCGGTATCTATATATGTACACTATAAAAAAGGAAGTGACTAACTAGGTCTGGTATAAATGAGTATGGAACAGAACTAGTCATCTGGAGACTGATATTGTGTACCAACAGGAAAATGTCCATACTAAACAATCAGAGTCAGCTATCTATTTTCAAACCATGAAAAAAACTGCCGAAACAAACGTCGGGAACCGATTGTTTGCTAAGAGCAAGAAGAGACATTTTTCCTTTTAACAAATTTTTTCATATGTTTTTTTTTTTCCAACAATATTTTAATATTTTAGATGTATGTACACTAAGATCACATTTTGATGATCCTATTATGATTCATTTATTTTGCAATGTTGGTCACTTCAATATATGAAATGGCCAATGTTAACAAATAAAAACAGAGGATTTCATGTAAATCAACACTTGCATAAATTACTGTTTTATTACTCAATTAAAACATAGATTATTTATTATTTTGTATACACAATCATTTCCATAAAATCTGGAAGTCCATCAAACTTTCTTTCAATCTACAGTAAAAATCTCATCACATTTAGAAGTATAACATGACTGCCTTTTTAAGATACACATCAACCTCCAGTATACAATCTAACTTTTGGGATATCCCATATGTCTATGCATTTCAGGGGTCTTGTCTGCTTCTTTAGGACATGGATATCCTGACATATACAACGTGGTTTTCACTGATGTTCATCTCTAAGGGCATATTCACACTACATTGGACATAAAAATGTGGCTGCAGTGCAGTGAATTTTGGCACGTTTTTTATGTGCGCCTTCTAAAGAGCGATCTGCGCTGAATCACTTACACTGTTCAACAAATTTTTATTTTTTTGCCAGTTTTGGAAACAAAAGGATCCATTTCTTAATGAATTTCACATTCTGAGTTCAAATATAACAATGAAATTTGTCAATTGGCTCTAGTTTTTCTGTAAACGGAAAGTTTTCTACTATAGGGCGTAATGACTACATAATGCACAATAATTATATAGATAGATGTCTTTCCACAAATATAAAGCAAGTGATATTGACTACATAACAAAGCCTAAATGGCATAATATATTGCATAGGATACCAAGAAAAATTATAGCCATAAGCTAGTTGAATCATTTTAATACTTAGGATTCTCAGTAGTTTTGTCTTCAGTTTGTGTCGGTTTTGCTTCTCTTGGCTTTTCTCTTGTATTCGAGGAAAGGGCTATCTCTTACAACTGCACGTGACTACACGCTTCAGGTTCTTCCTCACTTGACTCAACCACGAAGGATTCTGGTGCTTTAGGAATTGGTAGCCCCTCTCCATGAGGAACTGGACGTATTGCCGATGGAATATTTGGATAGTGCACAGATAACTTTTTCTTTTATTTAGCCCTTTTACAATTGGAGGCACCATACAAAAGTAACAATTACTAACATGATCTGTTGGCTCTCTCCAAATTCATTGGCACAGCGAAAGGCATAGATGCCTTTTTTCCATTCAACCATTGCTCCAGTGCCGTCCCACAAGAATTGCAGCATATATGTGGTGCACCCCCCCAGCTCTTGTCCTGGTCTCCTATCTTGCAGGCAAAATACAAGTTGTAGGCTTTCTTAATCATTCCTGTTATCCTCCTTTTTTGTGAGATAAAAGTTATTTCACCGCAGATATAGCAGAAATTATCTGCTTTATTCACACAAGTTCGAGGCATTACTGAGTAGCCTATATAAGCATAAAACGAAATGTAAAGACGCTGTCGAACTACAATCAGCTACAGATACTGCAGCTTTTATGCAGTGAAGTGATGCAATTAAAGGCTAATATTGCATCATCTCAGTATAACATGCAATTTTCTATTGGTCACCAGTATCAATTGCGCAATATGCAGCTGAAGTTGCATCATAATTTTGAATGGCTTACGTCATTAGATGGGTGAATATATCATGGAAACTAGAGCCAATCAACATTTTTTAGGGTCATTTTCGTTTTCAGCACCCCAAAATTATGTAAGATTAGCTAATTTTATGCCCAAAACTTTTTACCAGTTGAACAGTGTTATCAGAGGATGTTTGAAAGATAGCTGGTAGGTGTTATGTCACCTCCTCACCATCTGTTTTAACTCCTAAAAGCATGCACCAGTGCACTGCAATGATGTGCATTGCACAGATTGCAGGGTGGTTGTGATGTAACTCTATTTACTTGAATGGGTCGTGTTCAGCAGGCAGTTACTGAAGTTTAGAACTCAAAATTTGGAATTCAGGATTTCAGAACTCAGAACTTGGATTTTGAAACTTGGAACACAGAATTCAGAATTGGAACTCGGAATTTGGAATTCAGATCTCAGAATCTGGCACTTGGAATTCAGAATTCAGACCTTGGAATTTGGAATTCAGAGCTTGGAATTTTTGGAACGTAGAATTTGGAACTCGAAATTTGGCACTTAGAATGCAGAACTCAGAATTTGGAACTCGAAATTTGGAATTCAGAACTTGGAATTTGGAACTCAGAATTTGAAACTCGGAACTCAGAATTTGGAACTTGGAATTCAGAATTTGGAACTCAGAATTTGAAACTCGGAAAGCTCAAAAATTTGGAATTAGGAACTGAGAATTTGGAACTCTAAATTTGGAACTTGGAGATCGAAACTTGGAACTTAGAACTCGAAACTTGGAACTCAAAACTCGGAAATTTTTAAACTTGGTATTTGGAACTCAAAATTCAGAACTTGGAACTGGAATTCAGAACTCGGAATTTGGAACTTTGAATTTGGAACTGGAATTCAGAACTCGGAATTTGGAACTTTGAATTTGCAAGTTAGAATTCAGAATTTGGAACTTGGAACTTGTATAGCGGAACTTGGAATTCGAAACGTTTGGAATTCTGACCTTGTAATTTGGAGCTTGGATATTTTATCTCCAAACTTCGGGACGTGGAACTTTGAATTTGGAATTTAAGAGGTAATTAAAAAACATCCACCTACTTATACAGCCCCCCCCCCCCCCAACTGTAATTGTAAATAGAATAAAAAGTCCTGCATGCTGCAGTCTGTCTGTGCTAAACTAAAGTTTATCATTTACGTCGCACGGAATCCCGTACACACCTCTCAATACAACACACTTTACAGTGTGAATGACCCCCCTAATTCTAAAAGGATACTTCTATCTTTATCTGCCAACACTTGCCTCCTGCAAGACGGCGGCACCGTGCCCTTCTCCAAGATGGCGGAGCCGGTAACTGCTTCCGGGTGTATATGAGGTCACGTGTATGGAGGAAGCAGAGCTGATGTTCCCGGAGGATGAAGTGCTCGGAGCTAGTGCTGGTGCTCCTGTGTGTCCTGGTGTTGTCACAGGGTGAGACGGGGGGACAGCACAGGACTGTGTAGGGGGAGTACGATACATGTGCCTCACTTCACACGTCATAGAACAGGGAAGGGTGACATCTTCCTACAAGCAGCAGTCCATTGCAGTTATTTTGTTGTTTTGAAAGACAAATATTGTTCTGTATATAACGGGCCGCCCACAATCATCACTAACTCCAATAATAAAACCTTCTTTTCCCAGGGGCTGTATCCGTATATTGTGGTCAAAAAAACTGACCCATAAAAATAGGGCCATTTTCTATGCCTGTTAATGCCTTCCATGTCAGGTAGTAAAAATGGACTCTTAGGTCTAAAATTAAAAATGAGTGGACAGGTAAGATTTTTACCCTCGGTTCAAATTTGTGCAGATGGTGCCGCTGTGTGACCCGCACAAATACCTGCAGCTGCACCACCCACACAGAGAAATGCGGGACCTGCAGATGGATGCCATTAATTCTAATGGCACATCGCCCACACTGGAATTCACAACCATACTGGGAACAGAGGTTCCCATGTGGGCTGCGATTTCCCAAGTAGTGCAGGGACTTTTTCCCTGCGTGTCCCAGGGCATGGGAGTCCATTCAAATGAATGGGCTCTCATGCCCACACAAATCGCAGACCACATAAATGTGAATCAGGGCTTAATGGAAAAGAGATATGCTTTGTCATTTCTGCATTAAATTGACTTACTTGCCTGTCCACTCTTGTAGAGTGAGCCGTGCAGTGCCGAATTTGACGGAACTCCTGCGTGGGAGTGGAGTCACCTCTGCCTGGTCATTGACAGTGGATCTGAAGATGTCAGCGGCCAGGCGGGGAGCTTCGGGACAGTGCATCGGAGGTGAGTATAGTTCCACTTTAACTTGTCACCTAGTGGATCCCCCAAGTATGTGCCAAAATATTGGTGCAAATGTTTGACATCATTGACCAAAGTTAAATAATGTCCTTGCTACAAGTGCCATTTACATACCATTTGAAGCCTGACCGGAAAACTTTCAGAGATGGCATCATCTGCCTTGTTGCTAGGACAATTGCTAAGACACTCCCAGCCAATTCTATCTCCCTTATACGCAGTCACTCTCCCCTCCTATAGTAGCCCTGGGCTCAGTGATGCTGCAGCAGAGGTGATAGTGGACCACACGTATCTTGCTCCTGTGATGGTGGGGATGAGTAGAAACCACTGGAGTGTCCTAGCAACAAGACATGATGTGCTAATGCCATCTCTGGAAGTTTTCTGGCCAAGTTACGGGAGGAATGTAAATGGCCTACACCTATAACAAGGACATTATTTAACTTTGGGCAAAGCTGTACTATTTGTTTTTATCTACACACACCCCTTATCTGCATAAGCAGTTTTTTGATAAAGGGTAACTAACCCTTTAAACAAACCCTATCATATATTAAAGGTCCTTCAGGAAAGCACATACCTTTTAAAAAGAAATTGAAAACTGGCCCCTCCTGCCGCCTGCAATGCCCAAAACCACTCTGCAGAGAAATGGTCCCTCAAAGTTTGAAAGAAAACCAAAACATCTGGGAGTGCCAATCTCTGTGGTCTCCTGTAGCTCGCCTTAATTCTTCACTTTGACCTCCGTGTCACTACTGTGCCCTGCAGTGATGTGAGGTCAGAACGAGGAACCTGTGAGGAACAAGAGACCACAGAGATCTACACCCCCAGAAATGTTCGTTTCCCAGGAAGATTCTGGGCAGCAGGGTCCAGTATGCAGTCTCTTCCGTTGGCCCCTTCCACATGGGATGGACTATGCTAGGAGTCCACTTGCTTAGCATGGCATCTGTCCGCTGGTCTGTGTCCACTCCGCTTATGCAGAGTGGACACAGACGCAGCCTACTATCTTCTATGGGTGGTCAGATGTAAACAGACCACCTGTCCATTTACACTCAACTGCCATCTGATCCACTAGACGGAAGGGGAACAGATCCCCATCCGCCTGTTTTTAGCAGATCGGCTTGGATGTAGGCAGGTGGAAGAGGACACATGTCCATTTACACCTGCCCCTCCATGGAGGGTCCGAAAAACGCCCCTCATGTAAAAGGGGCCTGTGTTTCCTGAAGCACTTTTTTGTGATTTGCCACCCACTTCCAACTCATATACTCACCTGTATACATTCCTTCCAGATCCAACACTGTGCAGCCTATGGGAAACCACACAGTCCCAACTGCAAAATCCCATTTATTCCTGTGGAGAGGCTGTCTGTAAGATTGCCCTGCCATAGGAATGAATAGGATTTTTCCCACATATGCAAAGAATAAGTGAGGTACTGTGGAGAGTTTGCCACAGCACCTTGTAGGTCACACAGCGTGTATCTAGTAGGAACACTGAGTGAGTATAAATTGTTTTTTAGGGGGATGATTTGATTTGGTATTAATTCCATGCACAGTGACAGTAAGAGTAGAAGAGTGAGAAGCAGCAGAAGGGGACAATCCGTTTATGTGCTGACAAGAAGCATACTAATAGGAGGACACTGACTGTCCAGTCATAGGAAGGGAACTGGGACATGACATCCTTGGCGCAGAGGAAGTGGGTTGTGTTAGAAAAGAAGTACTGCGAGCCATAGCTTCAGATTAAAGGTGAATATTGCAGCAAAAATGCTTTTTATTTAATTTTTAATGGCTTGTCATTCTTTTATTTTTGACTCCAGTTCCGCTTTCATCGTTTTGTATCCATAGCTAGGTTTATCATAGTTATTTAATTACTGACAAGCTCAAAGGAACTTGTACATGACTGCTACTAAAATCTTGAGGAACCTAATTTTTTTATATGTCAATAAGTTGTTGAGCTTTGAATTCTTTTTGAGGCCATTTATATGATTTGCCATTGCAGGACAAGAAAAACATGATTCAGTGGTTAAACTCGATGGAGGAATGTTCAAGATGGGAACAAATGCTCCTGACAGTAAAGATGGAGAGGGTCCAGCTAGGCAAGTCACGGTGAATCCATTTGCCATTGACAAGTATCCAGTCACCAACCAGGATTTCAGGTTAGTTTATCAACGTTTGTTTTCATGTTTGCATATATAATTTAGAGAGAGGTACCCTAGAAAGTAACAGTTTTAAGGTGTTGCTTGTGTTGAAGGTTTGTCAAAAATGCCATGGGGATTATGGATCATGAATGCAACACAGTAGGCTCATAAAATAGATATACAGTGAATTTAGTGATTGAAATGATTCCTACACACTCATGTAGCTGTCTGAGTAAGTTTGAACAGAAAACAGTTATAGCAGACTGCTATGCCGTCACAGGGTTGGATTGGAAAGTCTTTAGATGTGTCCTGTTAAACCATGTTAAGCACTCTATTTGTCTGGCATGCATTTTTCCATGGACGTACATTTTGGATGAAAAAAAGGTATTTGAGAGTCTATCTGTTACAGATGGGATGATCATAAACAGCATTTGTGTATGGATTAAGATATTTGCTAACTTTTCAACACCCCTTTGTTTATTGTAAGCTATCTGCCAGGTACATGTAGTAGAGCTCTGACAGCAAAAGTCACTTTTATGAACAGAGTCCAGTTTTATTTTAACAAATTCAGCTTTTTTTTGCATGAGCAAATAACACAAAGAAGCATCATTTAATGTACAAACCATCCTGGCTAATGTTTGAAGTGCCATTCCCCCATCTTGTGTGCAGAAATGACAATCATACTCTTTCTCTATATGTGTGTTTGATGGTGCAACTTTTTACATCAGCCTCAACACTGCAAGATAATGCCAGCCAGCGCTTGGATTTTATTGTGACAATCTGATATAAAGGCTAGCTGTATTAGGGAGATTTGTTTTGAAAATATCTTATTACAAAAATTTAAATGGGCTATGAAAGTTTTTTTTAAAGGTAAAAGTCCTGAAAAAAAGGTAAAAGTCCTTTCTAAGGCCCCATTCACATGTGCAATTAGGGCCAGGCAGTAGTTTCCTGCAAGTGGAATTGCTAGTGTGTGCAAACAGTTGCGGCTATACAGTTTGTACAAATGAATTACAGGCTGAAAGCAAACACATCTGTCCGCATGTAATTGCACTTGTAGTGTTTACCAGCAGATAGGGACAAATGATAGCTTGTGTAAGTAAACTGTCTATGTCCAGGGTGATCATCTGTCCTTGACCGCAGGTATTCTCTCCATGTATGGACAGATGTGACCACTGTCAGACTGTCATTTGTTTTTACAGGCTGAATGACAGCAGTTGTGTAGTTCTAACCACACAAATCTTCTGATTCTTGCCACATTGCATACATGAATAGGAGTCTAGAGCCTGCTTCATGCACATTTCTTCAAATGGTTTTACTTTGTTACTAAGAGCTTGACTTTCCCTGACTTTGAAGCTAAGCTTCACCCAACTACCACCTCACTTTCTTTTGAAAATATCCTTATTGCTTATGACTGCACTTGTTTTTTGCAGTATAACCAACCAATAATGACTGTTACAAGCTCAAGTGGGAAGATGGGGAAAGTTGAATTTATTCTCTAAGTGGTTGTAAACCTCAGACATGAAATCTGAACAATGTACATATTTATCTATAGTGTTTACTTGCAGCTCTTCAAAGCAGTGTCATGTCTGTCTGCTGCTTTGCTCCTCTGCTGTCAGCATGAGTTATTTCTGACATGTTTTCCTGACACCAAGAGCTAAAAAGGTGACAGGAAATTGACCTGTATATTTAGCCTGTGATTGAAAGCTCTGCTGTGTCCCTGTGTGCTGTCTAAAGAAGGTTGTGATACCTTCCCTCCAGTCAGCACTCAGAGTTTTTTTACAGTGTGTAACTGCAGCTCCTTGACCCCTGCTTTGTGAGTCTGTGAAAAATAATTTTCGTCTCTGAGTTTTACAAGGTTGAAACGACAAATGGCTGCAAATAAACAGGTACAACTTATGTAGGAGGATTTATATCACCTCTGTGTATCACCTGAGGTTAGTCACTTTATTGGGTGTAGGTAAGGGTTTACATCCACTTTATTCCATGTTACCATATTAGTATATAGTACTAATAAGTGTTTTTACTTAATTTATTTTTTCCAGGGAATATGTACGAGCAACAAAGTATAAGTCAGAAGCAGAGACATTTGGATGGAGTTTTGTCTTCGAAGATTTTGTGACAGATGAACTAAAGAAAAAAGTTACTCAGAAGTTGCAGGTATTTTTTTTTGCATGTTTTGGACCCATGAATATCATTATATTTCAAATTTTGGAAAACAAGAACAAAGTCTAAGTGCACTCTCATGAACACTATTATAAATAACCAATACAATTGGTACACAATTCTAGTCATAAAAACATACATAAAAACCATTAAAAACAACCGAACTCAAGGCACATCCACACACAACTGCACACAATTGACCATATTATTAATCATCCCCTAATGAACAGAGACTAATGCTACGCTACAAAATTACAGGTTGAATAGGTCACCATAGCAGTCATCACCAATTCCACTATTAAAATTTCAGGAAATACATCAAACAGAAATAAATGCTGAAAATAGACTATTTAATGTTTAACATAGATTTTGTCGAAACATACTGCAAGCTCATCCAAGATATTAAAAAAAAAAAAAACTTTGAACGTTGAAGTTGTAAGACTAAATCATTGCTGAACCCTGAAGTAACTTCTGTGAATAAAAGTGGTCACTAAATACTAAGGCTTCCTAGTAAAACTTAGCGAAGTAGGAAATTTAGAAGATACTGCAAAAAGAGAGAGAGAAAAAACGTCTTAAACTAGCAAGGTTGGCTTTGCAAAGCTAGAAATCGCATCATGGCTATTCTAGGTAGTTGATAACCAAAAGTTATAGCAAGGGTCAAAACAAGTTAATGGCTATTTTTTTAAAAGTGATTTCCTAGAACTACAGAATTAAAAGTGACACCCCTGTTTCTGATTCCCTCTTCCTTGTACCTCCACACTGGCCCTCTTGCTATTGACTGGCAAATCCCTGATGTTTAAGTAGGTAATAGAGCGCTGGGAGTACATAAATGAAGCAGCTAGCATAAAAGGTAACCTTGGGACCCAGATAGAAACATGAAAAATAAATATGCAGCGCTTTTGAAATTAAATATGAACAAGCATAAAAAACAGAACATGAACAGCATAACTGCATGACAAATTCAGTCCATATTGCATGGTGCGATAAAGTGATAGGTGCAATTGTCCCAATAATTCATGTTCAGAGAAATTCGTGACTCTTGTGATCTCGTGATTTGTACAAATAATGCACTAACCAGATAGCGCAACCAATGCGCATGGAGCAATTAAGACCCGCTCCTGGTGCTCTGGACTTGTAGTATTAGGAGGATGTCATCTGCAGGTTTGGCCACCAGATGCCATCAATCCAGGTATATGGGTAAGTCATCCACCAGAGAGATCATCAGCGGGGGAGGGGGTGATCATGCATCATTCCCAAATGGACGTAACCTTCAAAAGCGGGCTCCCATAACATAGATGAGACCCAGAGAAGCCTCTGATAGTGTAGTATGTTTATTAAGTAAAAACTTACACCAGATACAATTGGAGGAAAAAACTTACATCAAAGCAAGGTCAGGCCACCAGGGTGTCAATCAGGATGGCTTTGTGGTATGCATACACAGGTCAAGGGCACCTCCCTAACGCGTTTCGTGTGCAAAACACTTCCTCAGAGGGAGTGTGCCCGTGATAAATGATACTGCTTTTATAGAAAAGTAATTGGCGCGCTTTTGAGCGATCTAGCGCCGCCAATTACGGTTCGCGCATGCGCACTGGCGACTTGGCGGCCATTTTACCGGTGATTTTAGTATGGACGGAGAACGGACTTTCGCGCATGCGCAGTGAGCGCTCGCGGCCATTTTCCAAGAGTTCCAAAGTAGGGAAGGCATTCGCGTTTGCGCTGTGAGCGTTCACGGATGCCATTTTTTCGGTGCCACACTGTGTACATACCAGAAGACATCCTAAACAGACACAGAGGCATCACAGATTCTCTTAATTCTCTTAATTTACTAGTGCTCGGCTCGTGATGCAATTAATTAGTGGTGAACTTAGGACATGAGAGATATAACGTAAAAATTAAAAATTAAAATGCATAAAAAGTGAATGTTTAAAAACTACGAGCATGGTCCCATAGTGATTATATGGATGGTGACATCTTGTGGGTGGTTAGGGTAATGCGTCCAACACACTCAATAGTGCACAGGAGTAATAATCAGCTGGCATTGATGTGTGACATACATGCATGAACCGGTCAGCACACCAGAAATTCTTAAATAAAACTGAAATAGAGTTTGATCCGAGCAATCCATGTCAGATAAATAGGTTAATACTGGTCCTTACACAATAGTACTATGAGCCATATGGGATCCCTGATGTTGTCATGCCCGCCAGACTAATTAGAAAAGCTTTTCTAGGATTTCTATGTTTTAAACCATTAATGCACCTAGAAGCATGGGTATGGATTTAGGGTGGAGAACATAAAGTAAAAGAGGAGTAACGGTTACACAAATGGTCTTGTGTGTTGCAAGCATTAGTCTCATCCAGTTTATCTATGTGAGCTGCTGATTGTACTGCTGTAAATCATATTTTACATGAAAATGTTCTTTTTGACATATAACCTTTACTGTCTATGCATATATTAGTTAAACCTGTTATTAAAAGGAATACTAGGGATTTGTTGTAATGATATGGAATTATGTTTTTATTTTGTCTTGTTACTACAGTCAGGTGTGACTAAAGGCTAAGTCATCTTTACAAAAATAATAAGCGCACGTTTTTGCAGGTAAAAAGATGTGAATTTGTTTTATGCCACAAGAGCCTGCAATGCTCCTGCGATCAGCAGATTGCGGGTACAATGTCAGGTTCCTGCAGCTTTCTGTCTGTACTTCTGTACAGGCTTTCTGTTTTTTAATTATGACAGCGTGTGCAGGGAGAAGAATTCCTGCTGGGGGGAATGGGGGGGGTTATACCCTAAATGCAGATGTATACAGTTACTAAAGATGAATTTAGGCTTTAAGCTCACACAAATTTAAATTGTAGGTTTCCAATTTATTTGACTACTGACCTTTATTTTATTTTTTTTTTTTTACCATAGTCTGCTCCATGGTGGCTTCCTATAGAAAGGGCATTTTGGCGTCAGGTAGGAGTTTCTTCAAATTTAGTTTTTCTCCAGGGTTTTTTCACACTTTAATTCTTTGTAATACCATTTTTTTTCTTTATAATGTTTACTCAGAGTTCCTATTCCACTACCATTTCAACATACAAAGGTATGTTTTCAAGATTAAAAAAAAATAATAGAATGCTTTCTGAAAATGTGTTTGGGTTGTCTACTAACACACATACAAATAAAAACTCTATGTTTTGTCTTTCAATGTCTTTTTTTCACCTATGATATGATCTACAGTATATTGCTATACTATACATTGTTTGGGACATACACACTGGGGCATTTTCAGAGAAAGTGGTTTATGAGTTCTTGTTTTCCAAAAAGATTATTTTATTATTTCATTGGCGTGGGCAGCCTTAATAATGTTCATTAGTACATTAGTAATAGTAATATAGTGGAACTATACCCATAACAACTTGATTAAAAAATGATTTTATTATGCAAGAAACATACATTTCAAATTAACCACCTGAAGACTGCTCAAAGTAAATATACTGCGAGCAGGTGGCAGGTACAGGTATAGTCTCGTACATGTACGTGACCGACCTTCTTCTGGGTTTGGGGCGCACATGTGTGCCCCCCAGCTGACCTGTGCTGTGATTGAACACAGCAAGAGTTTGGCAGCAGATTTTAGCCAATGACTTTGGCTGAAACCTGCTGATTGGCCGTGTCCAATCACACACAGAGTTCTGTATTTACAAACACACAGACGTCTGTATACATAGAAACAGCAATTTGACTGTTTCATCTGCCTGAAAAGCAAGTAAGTAAAAGCAGCACAGATTATATACATTTTACACTTGTTATGCACACAGTTAACCCCTTTATTGCCCCTAGATGTTAACCCCTTCTCAGCCAGTGTCACTAGTACAGTGTCAGTGTACAGTAATCTCACTGATCACTGTATTAGTGTTAGCGAGCCTCTCAACCAGCGTGTGGTAGCGCCAGCTTGCCCGTCACCCTATCACAGTCCAGTTTATATACCATAGTTTGTGAACACTATACCTTTCACACAAATCAATTAATATACACTTACTGGGCTCTTTTGTTTTGTTTTACCGATGTAGCAGAATACATTTCGGCCTGAAATTTTTATGAAATTTAATTTTATAAAATTTTATTGGATATGTTTTTTTTTTTTTTTTTTTTTTTTGCAATCAATCTTTATTAACATTTTCTAGTAATACAAAGTAGACAATAATTTCAGCAAATATATGTCAATCAGTCAAGAAAACATCAATCAAATGTATAATATAGGCAAACTAAAACCTTGACCAAAATCTTACATAGTTGGAATATCAATGGAATTAGTGACTCCAAAAGTCCAAACACACAAATAAAAAACAATAAATGTCCAGTAGACAACTTCTGTAGGGGTAGTATTACACAAGCCATAACATATATTACCCAGGTGTACTTATTGGATATGTTTTATAACAGAAAGTAGAATTTTTTTTTTTTTCATTTTCAGTCTTTTTTCATTTATATAATAAAAAATAAAAAAACACAAGTGATCAATTACCACCAAAAGAAAGCTTTATTTGTGTGGACAAAAATAATATAAATTTCATTTGCATACAGTGCTGCATGACCACGCAATTACCAGTTAAAATAGCAAAAAAATGCCCTGGTCATAAAGGGGGTAAAACCTTCTGGAGGTCAAGTGGTTAATAATTATGCTACTAAAATTAGTGTGTGCTCTAAATTGCCTCCAGCATTGTTCCTGTTTTTTTCTTGCTGGAGGCTGTCATTTTGCTGAAGCCCAGACACTTAAGCAGCATTAAATCATATGTCTTACATATATTCTTTCATGTTATTTTCCAGCCAGCAGGGCCAGGCTCAGGGATCAAGGAGAAGCTGGAATACCCAGTGCTGCAAGTCAGCTGGAATGATGCACAGGCCTTCTGTAAGTGGAGGGGGCAAAGACTGCCTACAGAAGAAGAGTGGGAGTTCGCTGCACGTGGGGGACTTAAAAGTATGTCATCATTCTAGTGTGTGTGTATGTGTATATACATGAGAAAATGTCTAACATTACTTAAAAAACATTTGGAGAAAATGTATCACTATTAAAAACTGAAAAATATGGCACTGTGTTTTACTGACAGGCAACACCTACCCATGGGGGAATCTATTTCAAGCAAATCGAAGCAATCTTTGGCAGGTAATGTCATATTTTAACGGTGACCTTGTTTATTCTCACTATTTGTCCTCTTCCAGAAAATACATTTTTTTAAAATTGCAAATACTCATGAAAAAAATCTTTATTGAGACAAGATGATAATGGCCCTTCAGACTGCAGTCATTGGCCTAGGGTAATTATTTTCCTGATCTGAAAGATATTTTTATATTAGGCAAAGAATGAGGATAGCAAGAAGAGAATGGATATATCTCATCTTTCTTTCTTTCTTCTGTCATGTATTGAGTTGCTTAGGAGAAGGTGTTGATAAGAAAGCTGTGATAGAAAGGGGTTGTTACAGGAAGGACAGTAAGTGAGTGTAGATCCGGGTGCCACGTTAACAAGAAACTACACTGTCTACACAGCATGAGCTGATAAAAGTAAAAATATAATATTTTTAAGTATAAACTGGTCTATCCAGGTCAGCTTGGAAACTTGTGGGTGAACATTTCACACACGAAACATTTTTACTTTGCTTGCTGATTTACCAAAGGAAAACTTGGGTCAGGCTAAGTTCTTTCCACTCTAGTTCAAATTCCGTTCTCTGCCCTCTGTGAGCTTTTATATTTGTATCCTGCAGCAATTTTTGCTGGCACTGGGCAGAAAAAGAATTGTTAATTCTTAAAGTCAGCATTTACATTTCATAAAATGTAGTCTACTGTCTGGTTGTAATGTCTTGTTCTTGCCTTGAGCACAAATTAATAACAAGCTCTTCCAGTTGTCAGAAATGCTCATACAGTTGAAAGCTTATGTGCATTAAAGTGTTGACTGTGTGTGCACCAAATCCATCTGCTGGTTTTGAACTTTGCATGAGAGGACAGGCAATGTTTCATTGACCATTGCCATGAGTGGTTCAGGTTTTAACATGACAGGTATGATAATGATGATGGGAGCAAGTGTATTCCTGTAGATGGAAAGAAACATTGCGTCTGTAATTGTCCTAGCAACGTTTACTGCACCTAGAAACAGTTTACTGAATTTGTGTAAATTCTATGTCTAAAGACTTAGGCTTCTAGTCTTCTCTATTATAGGGGGAGTTTCCCAGCCAAGACTCAGCTGAGGATGGTTATCATGGGGTTTCTCCAGTAACAGCATTTCCTGCACAGAATGCTTATGGTAAGAAGTCTTTTATATTTTTATACAGTGGGTATAGAAAAGAATCACCCCGTTTTAAAATAATCACACTTTGTTGCTGTGTAGCTTGAAATGAAGACAGACACAGTTTTTGTTTTAGCCAGCTATACTTACTCAGCGCAACATATTACATCCAAGTGAAAGATATAACACCAACATATCAGAAAAAAAATCAAAAACAGAATCACTAAGTTGGAAAAAGGATCCCCCCTTGTGTCAGTATTTTGTTGAACCGCCTTTTGCTTTAATTCCAGACTTTAGTCTGTTGGGATATGTCTCTACTAACTTTGCACATCTAGACTTTGCAATATTTGCCCACTCTTCTTTGCAGAACTACTCCTGTTCATTTAACTTTGATGGTGACCATTTGTGGGCTGCAGTCTTCAAGTCATTCCACAGATTTTCAACGGGGTTTAAGTCTGGGCTGTGACTAGGACATTCACCTTTTTCTCCTTCAACTACTAATAACATGATATTACTACCTCCATGGTTTACTGTAGGAATGGTGTTATTTGGATGGTGAGCTGTATTGAATTTCCGCCAGACATCTTGTTTAGTGTTGAGGCCAAATACACTGCTCAAAAAAATTAAAGGAACACTTTGAAAACACATCAGATCTCAATGGGGAAAAATATCATGCTGGATATCTATACTGATATGGACTGGGTAATGTGTTAGGAACATAAGGATGCCCCATCGTTTGATGGAAATGAAAATTATCAACCTACAGAGGACTGAATTCAAAGACACCCTGAAAATCAAACAGGCAGCATCACATTCTCCACAGCTTCTCCAGACCCTCTCACATATGTCATATGTGCTCAGGGTGAACCTGCTCTCATCTGTGAAAAGCACAGGGTGACAATGGCTGACCTACCAATTCTGGTGTTCAATGGCAAATGCCAGTTGAGCTCTATGGTGCCAGGCAGTGAGCACTGGGCCCACTGGAGGACGTCGGGCCCTCAGGCCACCCTCATGAAGCCTGTTTCTGATTGGTCAGAGACATTCACATCAGTGGCCTGCTGCAGGTCATTTTGTAGGGCTCTGGTAATGCTCAACCTGTTCCTCCTTGCACAAAGGAGCATATCTATGGCTCGGTCCAGCTCTCTTAGAGTAACTGCCTGTCTCCTGTAATCTCCTCTATGCTCTTGAGACTGGAGATACATTGGAGATTCTTGGAGATCCAGCAAACCTTCTGGCAATGGCACTGACCCTAGCCAAATGCAAAACTAGTGAAAAACAGTCAGAAAAGATGAGTAGGGAAATAAAATGTCAGTGGCCTCCACCTGTAAAACCATTCCTGTTTTGGGGGTCATCTCATTGTTGCCCATCTTGTGCACCTGTTGTTAATTTCATTAACACCAAAGCAGCTGAAACTGATTAACAACCCCCTCTGCTACTTAACTGATCAGATCAATATCCCAGGAGTTCAACTGACTTGATGCTATACTCTGATTAAAAAAGTGTTCCTTTATTTTTTTTTTAGCAGCGTAATTCAGTTTTAGTCTCATCTGACAATAACACCTTTTTGCACGTTGCCTCAGAATCTTCAAGGTGCATTTTGGCAAAGCTTAGTCGTGACTGCATGTGGCCTTTCTTGAGGAGTGGCTTTTTCCTTGCATCCCTCCCATACAAGCCACATTTGTGGAGAATTTGTGATATTATCATATACACACAATGACCACTCATGTCATAAATTTCTGCAACTGCTTCAGAGTTGATGTAGTCCTCTTGGTAGCCTCTCTGACCAGTTTCCTCCTGACTCTTTCATCCAGTTTGGAGTGATGCCCTGATCCAGGGAGAGTCTCTGTTGTATAAAATACTTTCCACTTCAGAAGCAGAAGTTGTCTTCCCTCTCTCCTCCCCGTAGTCTTCTGGGACACGTGACAGGTCCCAGAGGACTACGGGGCCATTCACAAAGCGCAACGCTTCTCGCGCACGAGCAGTGGGCACCTGGCTGTGAAGCCGCAAGCTGTCACAGCCAGGTGCCCACACTGAAGATGCCGGCGCCAGGGAGAGAAGATGGCTGGTGAAACCAGCGGTGGTGAGGACACCGCTGGACTGAGGGACAGGTAAGTGTCTGTATTTTAAAAGTCAGCAGCTGCAGTTTTTGTAGCTGCTGACTTTTATTTATTTTTTTTTTCCAGGTGGAACTCCACTGTAAGTCATTTTTAGGAGGGGGGTAATCCTTTTTCCAACTCAGTGATTCTGTTTTTAATTTTTGTTGTTTTTTTTTTACTTTCTGACATGTTGGTATTATATCTTTCAGTTGGATGTTATACGTTTCACCGGGTAAATACAGCTGGATAAAACAAAAACTGTGTCTGTCTTCATTTCAGGTTGCAAAGCAGCAAAATGTAATTGTTTTAAAGGGGGGTGATTCTTTTCTATACCCACTGTATTTCTTTATCAGTACTGTAGATTTTGGGTTAATAGACAAATATATATTATTTATTTGTCAAATGTAAGGCTCGGTTCACATCAGAATGTGATACAGGAAAGGTGCGTTCTATGCGTGTTGCCTGTACCACAAGTGTATGCACTGCCCTTGCAAGTTGCATGCGTGTGCCAGTGTATTGTTAATGGCACCCCAAACGCAAATTGCAAACACAGTGCGTTTGTGGGCACCAGATCACATGGTACCATGCAGTTTGGTGCAGTGCATTTTTAAAAAGTAGTACAAGCACACTTTTTCCCACAGTCCAATGCATTTTGCAGCCCATTCAAAAGTCACTGCATGGGAATGCACATGTTCCCTTGCAATTCCGGTATGAACCAGCCCATATAGTTGTTTTCAGATGTGTTTACAGTATTCTTATGCACTTTTGTTATTGTTTGAGTAACAGCAATAGTTTACTGTATTTAAAAGGAGCCCCACTTCCCCTTAGCCTCTTGTTAGCTAAAACATAAAGCAGAATACCAGATTCATCCACAAATCAGAATAATTTACAGCATGATCACACTGTAATTATAGGAAAATTTAATGCAGTAAAAATATTTTATGGCTATTTAGATCTACCTAAATCCTCAATATCCAAATGAATTCTCAACAATCCTGATAGTTTGAATAATTAGTTTCCTTACACATTCCTTTTCCTTGGGGAGATGGAAGAAAGGGCATTTGTGAATTTCACCATCCCAGCATCTTAGGAAAGTGTTTACTTTCTGTTGGTGATGCAGATCACTTAATTCATGCATCATGCCACATAGTGGATGAAATTTGTAGGGAACAAAGGGATGTAGGTTTCATCTAATTTTTTCATGATTCAGACCTGCCTGCATTGATATACAAAAGAGGGTAGGAAAACACACAGACAGGACATGAGATCTGTAATACTCCAATTACAAAAGCATATATGGGACCTCCTCATTAAATCCAACTCATTAGAGAGGACATGGAAACTGTACTGCGTTGTTACACAACCAGCAAGGTTTTTTCCTCTAGTTTGCAAGGAAGCTGCTGTATTATTTCAGCCAATGTGAAATATTTCTCTGCCCCCTCTAGGGAACCTGCCACTGGCAAGGTGTTTCTATTGATGTGACTGCAAGTGTAAAGTAACCTTACTCAGACCTGTTTATAATTTTCTTCTACCAACAAAGATGAAAATGGATATTATGTATAGAGATACAAGTTCATTGTGGTAACACAGCTGTTGATCTCAGAGGCTTTACCACCCTTTGTTGCTAACATGAAGTATTAATCTGTTTTCTGATGTTATATTTTACTTTGTCAGGTTTGTATGACATATTGGGAAACACCTGGGAATGGACATCTACAGAATACAAAGTACCTAAAGGGGCTAGTACACAGCGTGGACAGATTATGTATGTATTGCGTGGGGCTTCCTGGATCGACACCGAAGATGGTTCAGCCAATCATAAAGCACGTGTTACCACTAGGTAAGTATTGTATATTCCTCAATATATAAAAAACCTCACCACTACTTCATCTCAGTTTGAATTAAATTTAATAATTAGTTCTACACGTATCAAAAAAGACTTATTCTGGGGTGACGCATACCCTTTTCATTACATCATAAATACAAAAGGCTGAAAAATAAGGGTAAACCTGCATTCCTGAACTAAAGAAAATCTTACCCAAAAATCACTGCAAAATCTAAAAAACACTTGTTAACCCTCCACCGCTAAAACAATTATAGATCTGTAATTAAAATCCACATAATGGGGTCCCCCTTGCCCTCTTCCCATAAACAAATGCTACCTGGCTGTAATAGTACTGCTGAAAATAATGTTACAATCCACAAATGCATGTGTCCTCCACAGGACTGTATCCATTTGTTATACTTGTGTCATTCTTACTGCGCAGACATACAAAGATACATTGTCCATTCTTTGTTGATACAACTATGAGATTACAGATATATATTAAGTATTCCTTCAAATCGAAAGGACAGATGTATTCTTTCCTTGATCTTCACACTTCCTTATCTCTTAATATGTTGGATATCAAGCCCATCAGTTTTCATGTCATTATGTCTACATGCTCTGGATCATATGGAATTTGACAAGTAATTGCAAAACACTGAAAGTGAAATCCTTAAGCAGAATCTGCCTTTCCATGCAGGGGGCTCCTTCAATATTCAGCTAACCGGTGGTTTTATAAAATGGAGCCACAGTTACTTAGCTTGTCTAGACACTGCTCCAATATATCTAAAAAATAATTTTACTAACTGTTCCTTCTGACAAATTATGATCACATTACTCACACTTTATACATTGTGTATTCGCTGTTGTCACAATCAATTTGTTTAAAATAGCTTTTTTTGTGTCCGCGCAAGCTCTTAAATCCAGATTCGATATGATCATGCTCCTCACAGTTCATGCTTTAAAGGATAAGTTTGCCTTTGTAAAAACAATAATAATAATAAATGCACATTTATTTTCAGGTAAAAAAAAAGTGCATTTATTATTTTTACATTTCAGCTTGATGAAATCACGGGTACAATGCCTAGATCCTGCAGACCCTCTCAGTATACTGTCTGTCCATAAATTGTATGACAGGAAGGATCAATGAACTACTTAGAGCACTCATCAGTTTCCTGGTAGTTCATTGAAACTACAAGCCATCAGCCATAAAGGCTGAAAGCAGTTGTAGTTCTTCCATTCACAGAACTCTGTGAATGAATGACTTGTAGGTGGAGCCCCAATCGGCTGCAATTTTTTAAAATTGTTACTACAAGTTCAGGGGGAAAAAGATCCCTGGCTTGCTGTCAAAGTGAGGCAGCGGATCAGGGGGAGGATGCAGGAGTGGGAACATGTTACATGTTCCACCCTAAAAATGGGTGGAACATGTAACATGTTCCCAAAGGTTAACTTATAAGGTAATCATTTAATGAGAGCACATTGAGAACACAAATGCTGTTTACATGGCCCAGTCAGATCACATTACATATCACTTCTTAAATATCCATCCTATGTCTTTCTCTGGAGAGCCCATAAAAGAAATCAACAAAATATGCAGTCCCACATATTTAAACTTCATATTTCTGTACTCAAATCACCCAGGTGCATGCAGACTGATGCATCATGCTGCTCTCTCCTTTTGGCACGGGAAAACCCAGCAGCCATACTGCATCAATGCATTACACCTGTAATCTTCATTGGACTCGTATTGCGGCACATAAATTAGTGTAGCTAAATTGCTAGATACTAGCAGACATAATGGACAGATTATTGACACAGCTTCAAAACTTCATTTGGTCTCTAACGTGTGTGTGTGTGTGTATGTGTATATATATATATATATATATTGCCCCCCCCCCCCCCCCATTGTACAGCGCTGAGCAAACCCTTTGGAGCTATATAAACTCGATGTAATGTAATATATATATATATATATATATATATATATACACATGCACAAACTGTACCCCCTCCTGTCAGGCCAGCTTTCAGCACTGTCACACTTTGAATGACAATTGCGCGGTCATGCAACACTGTACCGATATTAATTTTTTTGCATTTTTTTTAACAGATAAAACTTTATTTTGGTAGCATTTATTCACCACTGGGATTTAATTTTTTTTGCTATATAAATGAAAGAGTCCAAAAATTTAGAAAAGAAGTGTTTTTTCTTATAAAATTTTGCAAATAAATAATCTTTCTTCATAAATCTTGGCCAAAATTTATTCAGTTATCTTTTTAGTAAAAAAAAATAACCCAAAGTAGTTTATAACCAAAAATTATAATTTTTCAAAAATATTTTTACATTTTTATTTTTTTTTTATATTATTATTTATTTTTTATTTTTTTTAACATTCTGTCACCCTAGCAGTACAGTGTCACCATAGTGATACTGTACTACTTGTGGGGTCATGAAGATTTTTTTTTTTACACTGATTGCTTTTACACCCATAAAGGTTGTAAAAGCAATAATTTCTATTTCTCTCTGTCTGCATTCAGCAGCCATTGAGAAATACTGTGAGAACTGTGATTGGTCACAGCTTGTCACATGGTACAAGGCTGTTGTGAAATAGCCTTGTACCATGTGACCTGTGATCATTCACAGATTTCACACGTAGTAAGCAGTGATGTCAGAAGTGACATCTTGCTTACTACTATTCATGTGATCACTGATTGGCCAATCAGTGATCACATGATCGAGACCTCACAGAGAGGTCCCATACAGCGATCGGTCACAGCGGGCACCGGATCGCGGTGGTGACGCGCACTCGCTAAAATGGGGGGCTCCATTTATGAACGGCAACCCGCTCCTGCACTGCTCCCATCCGGCCGTTTATATACATGGGCCGGACGGGAAGTGGTTAAGAATGCTTTCAGAAATGTTAATAGTTTATTTTTTTATCAATTAACAAAATGGAAATCAAATGCACACCAGAATTCAAAATCATATCAATATCTGGTGTGACCGCCCTTTCCTTCAAAACAACATCAATTCCTCTAAATACACTTGCACACAGTTCTTGACAGAACTCGGCAGGTAGGTTGTTCCAAAAATCTTAGAGGACTAACCACAGATCTTCTGTGGATGTAGGCTGCCTCAAATCAGTCTGTCTCTTCATGTAATTCCAGACAGACACAATGATGTTGAGATCAGGGCTTTGTGGGGGCCAAATAATCACTCCAGGACACCTTGTTTTTCTTTACACTGAAGATAGTTCTTAATGACATTGGCTGTGTGTTTGGGGTCGTTGTCCCGCTGCAGAATACATTTGGAGCCAATTACACACCTCCCTGATTGTATGGCATGGTGGATAAGTATCTGCCTGTGTTTTCTCAGCATTGAGAACAACATTGATCCTGACCAAACCTCCAATTCCATTTGCTGAAATGCAGCCCCAAACCTGCAAGGAACCTCCACCATGCTTCACTGTTGCCTGCAGACAATTATTATTGTACCACTCTCCAAACCTTTAGTGAACAAACTGCCTCCTGCTACAGCTAAATATCTCACATTTTGACTCATCAGTCCAGAGCACCTGCTGCTATTTTTCTGCACCCCAGACCCTGTGTTTTCTTGCATAGTTGAGTCACTTAGCCTTGTTTCCACATCGGAGGTATGGCTTTTTTGCCGCAGTTCTTCCATGAAGACCACTTCTGGCCAGACTTTTCCGGACAGTAGATGGATGTGCCTGGATCCCACTGGTTTCCGCCAGTTCTGTGTTGATGACACTGCTGGACATCTTCTGATGTCAAAGGAAAGTAAGCATGATGTGTCTTTCATTTGCTGCATTAAGTTTCCTTAGCTGACCACTGCGTCTACGGTCCTCAACAATACCTGTATTTTTGTGTTTCTTCAAAAGAGCTTGAACAACACATCTTCAAACCCCAGTCTGCTTTGCAGTCTTTGCCTGGCAGAGACTTTACTGATGTAGTATATAACTACCTTGTGTCTTGTTGCTGTGCTCAGTCTTGCCATAATGTATGACCGGTGACATGAAACTGTCTTCCACAATCCCACCTTAGTAACAGAGTTTGGCTGTTCTTCACCCACTTTTAGGGCTCCTACAGATATGTTTCTGTTTCAGTTAATGACTGTGTTTCAACCTACATAGAACATTGATGATCATTAGCACCTGATTGGTATATTTGGTTATTCCTACACCTGTCTCTGATCATACAAAATTATTGACTGTGCAAATGAACAAAGTGTACAAGTGTAAGAATTGATGCTGGTTTGAAGCCAAAGGGTAGTCACACCAAATATTGATTTGATTTAGATTCTTCTTCTGTTCGCTCACTTTGTATTTTGTAAATTGATAAAAAATAAACAATTAAAATATATATTTTTGAAAGCATTCTTACTTTACAGCATTTCTTCACACCTGCCCAAAACTTTTGCACTGTACTGTGTCTATATATACAATATATTGCCAAAAGTATTGGGATGCCTGCCTTTACACGCACATGAACTTTAATGGCCTCCCACTCTTAGTCCGTAGGGTTCAGTATTGAGTTGGCCCACCCTTTGCAGCTATAACAGGTTAAACTCTTCTGGGAAGGTTGTTGACAAGGTTTGACCATTCTTCCAGAAGCGCATTTGTGAGGTCAGGCACTGATGTTGGATGAGAAGGCCTAGCTGGCAGTCTCCTCTCCAATTCATCCCAAAGGTGTTCTATCATGTTGAGGTCAGGACTCTGTGCAGACCAGTCAAGTTCCTCCACTCCAAACTCACTCATCCATGTTTTTATGGACCTTGCTTTGTGCACTGGAGCGCAGTCATGTTGGAACAGGAAGGGGCCATCCACAAACTGTTCCTAAAAAGTTGGGAGCATAAAATTTTCTTGGTATGCTGATGCCTTAAAAGTACCCTTCGCTGGAACTAATGGGCACAACCCCTGAAAAACAACCTCATACCATAATCCCCCCTCCACCAAACTTTACACTTGGCGCAATGTAGTCAGACAAGTACTGTTCTGGCAA